GGAGGAAGGAAGGACAACACGCTTAGTTCAAGTCGTCGTAGTCGTCGGCGTCTCTATCGGCATCGTCTTCCACATGGATCTGCGGACATTCAGATATTGAAAAAGGACAATGTCATCTACCGAAGCATGCCATCACTATGAAGTCCACATATGGGGATCTTCGCGACGAGAATTGTTGATCCCCCTGCCCGGTGCACACTGAGTGTTTCAAGTGAAGTGCCATTCCCAGGGCTCGCACCCTGTTTTTATGTGGGGAAGTCTTGAACGTTAAATTGCGCCCCCGGCCACCGATTTACACGAGCAACGGCTCCCGTTTGATACTTCGCCACAGTGTATTTCCACTTTGCGCTTTCGCGCATGACTTCCAATGCATACAGGAATCGCGCTCTCGTGTGGGACCCCCTTGCAATTTATTCAGACGCCGCGCCTTCGACACTCAGAATCACACTCTCGCTGTCGATGTCCTTACGATATGTTTGGGAATCGAGTTATCGTTCGAGACCTCCTCGCGATTCATGCAGCACGCACGCTTCAGCAACCCGACTGCTCGACCTGGCCGGCTGGGCCCGCCTTCCCGACCCGCCCGTTAAAGTCTATCCGCCCGATCTGCCCGTCTGGTTCTGCCACGTGTTTTCTGTTCTCACCCCCCCTTCTACTACTCTCTGTCGTGCTCTATCCTCCTCCTTCGCACTCGTCCATTCCTTCCATCCGTCCTCTCTTCCCCTGCCTTAGGGACCGCACGAAATATTCGCTGCAGAACATGAAGATATGCCCCCAAGGGGGTACGATCGAACGCGAAGAGGGCGGGTATCGATGGTATGGGGGGGTATACGTGTTGAATGGCACGCGAGCAGATAAGAGCGAACAGCCTTAATATGATTGTTGTTGGTGTTGTCGCTGCTGTAGTTGCAGTTGTTGTCGTTTTTGTTGTTGATATTTGTTGTTGGTGGTGGTGTTGGTCATGGTGTTGGTGTTCTCGCTACTGCTGTTGTTGTTGTTGTTGCTGCTATTGTTGTTGTTGTTGTTGTTGTTGTTGGTGTTGTTGTTGTTGTTGTTGTTGTCGTCGTTGCCGTTGCCGTCGTTGTCGTTGTCGTTGTTGTTGTCGTTGTTGGTGTTGTTGTTGTTGTTGTTGAACATTATTTCTTCTTAAGAATAATTATTGTTGGGACCCCTGGTGCGCGACCCCCCTCCAAAACCTAGGCCGCAGCCTCATTTCCTTCATTTTCTAGCGAAAGCTTCAGAAAAGTGGATTGTGTCCGGATCCGGTTGTTTTGTTGTAATCCGTTTTCCCTTGCAAAAAACACTATAAAATGAAAATTCTTGTTCTTACTTGATCAAATTGCAAGAATCCCTTGCAAAAAATAAGGTAAAGTGGACATTCGTGCGCGCAAGACGAAATCCTTCCAAAACCTTAGGTTTCGTAACGATTTTAACATAAAAACATCAAAAACCCAATGGTTTTTTAAGAAAAAATTGTCAAAATGTCCTTCCGCGCGCGCTGTCCGAATCCCACAAAACCAATGGTTTTTCAACATTTATGTTACATGAGCTCGCGCGAGCTACTTTTTCTTGTTCTAACATAATCAAATTTCAATAATCCCTTGCAAAAAATAAGGTAAAGTGGACATTCGCGCGCGCAAGACGAAATCCTTCCAGAACCTTAGGTTTCGTAACGATTTCAACATAAAAACATCAAAAACCCAATGGTTTTTCAAAAAAAAATGTCCAAATTTCATCCCGCGCGCGCTGTCCGACTCCCACAAAACCAATGGTTTTTCAACATTTATGTTACATGAGCTCGCGCGAGCTACTTTTTCTTGTTCTAACATAATCAAATTTCAATACTCCCTTGCAAAAAAAAGTAAAGTGGACATTCGCGCGCGCAAGACCAACAAAAAACACGACGATCTCAGGAACTTGCCCCAAAAATGTGACCAACTCCGCTCTCTCTGTCTCTCTCTCTGTCTGCTCTCTGTCTCTCTCTCTGTCTGTCTGTGTCATGTATTGTATGTCACAATTGCAGGATGCTGGGCACACGCGCGCCCCGAATAAGTGACCAAGTTCTGTGGGTGTGTACCCCACGCCAGTGTAGTAGCCACGGTCGTCCGCACGCCACGAAGTGAAGTGTCCCAACGTCATAGGGCGGGAAGCTGGGTTTGGGTGGTCGCGAAGAGTCGTTTGGATATTTGGTAGAGCTTGAACTGCCCCCCCACGAAGTGGGGGTATTGTCTCGCGTCGCATGAAAACCCTGGCACTGGTGAGAACACTGAGCGTTCGGGTAAAATGATTGTTGTTGTTGTTGTTGTTGTTGTTGTTGTTGTTGTTGTTGTTGTTGTTGTTACTTGCGATTTGCGCTGCGGGTGGGCAAGGTGGTGTCGTGAGAGAGGGTCCTTTCTGACATCGCCTAGTCGACTGGGGAATTACAGAGCGGACTGCAGTCAGGCAAGTTAGGACTGGGTGCAAGTTTCTTCCATCCCGAACCCTGTCCTATGCGTTTCTCTTTTGCGTCTCGCGGGTCGGGCTTCGGGGCGGGGTGCTTGAGTGGTCCCCGTGCTTTTGCTGCTCTTAGCTGTGCCGCTGCTCCTGTCGGCTTGCAGGTGCTGGCGCGTATTAGCGAGCGACGGATTTTTGGGGAATGGTAAAGCCTTCATCATCGTATTTCGTTAATGGCTACCGCCTCTACCAGCAAATGCTCTGGGGGGGATAGGCCTTTCGGCCAACCCTTCCCTCGCGCACCTCCTCCCCCCCCCGCTTCCCTCCTCCCCGCCCTTTCCCCGACATCCTCCGATCTGATATTCTCAATCCGCGCCCCCAGAGCTCCTGACTCCGTCCCCAGGGGTAGTTCTGCTTTGTGGATCCATTTTCGACCCGATGAGGGACCCCAGAGACCGAAACGAAGGAGAAATGCGCCGCGATTGGGATAATCAAATCGTCGGATATTTGGGCCACGACATGCGACGTGCTGATTTTTTCCTTGCGCGGTCCCTGGAAATCCTGTCCCTTTTCGCGGGCTGGTTCTTCATCCAGAGTCGTTTTCTGACGGCCCTGAGGCCCGGCGAGCTCTTCCAGAGGCCGAGAACGGCGAAAAAAAATTCGGCTCGAGTTTTCTACGGCGCGATCCTCTCTGGGGTCACTTCCTCCCCTCCTTCCATTGCGGTGCATTGGAGGCACTCTACACGAAGGACGGACGCCTCAAAAAAAAAATGGGGTACAGGGAGCACGCGCAGGGAAACCCAGAGATCCGATGTCTTGTTTTTTTCGATACGGGGTCCCGGGAAGTCCCGACCCTTTCCTTGGGGCCGTTTTTTTCATCTCGAGTCATTATTTGACGGTCCCGAGGCCCGGCGAGGGCCCCCACGGCAGGGACCGAGAATAGCGAAACACTTGCCGTCCCGATTTTTGTACGACGCGGTCATGTCTGGGAGTGTAAACGTCCGGAGAGTGCAGCTCCTGCGCCTGCCGCGCTCCCCGGGAGAGCCGCCCGCCCGATCCCAGGGAAGGTCCGCCCCACCTCTGGGCGCCGCCCGGGCCCGGGCCCGCCGGCGCGGCTGCTCGGCCCGCCGGCTGGGGCGGCCAGAGGAGGAGGAGGAGGGGGAGGAGGAGGAGGAGGAGAGGAGGAGGAGGAGGGAGGAGGAGGAGGAGGAGGGAGGAGGAGGAGGAGGAGGAGGAGGAGGAGGAGGAGGAGGAGGAAGGAGGGAGGAGGAGGAGGAGGAGGAGGAGGAGGAGGAGGAGGAGGGGAGGGGGAGGAGGAGGAGGAGGAGGAGGGGGGAGGAGGGAGGGAGGAGGAGGAGGAGGAGGAGAGAGGAGGAGGGAGGAGGAGGGAGGGAGGAGAGGAGGAGGAGGAGGACGAGGAGGAGGAGGAGGAGGAGGAGGAGGAGGAGGAGGAGGAGGAGGAGGAGGAGGGGGGGGAGGAGGAGGGTGGGGGAGGATGGGGGAGGAGGAGGGTGGGGGAGGATGGGGGAGGAGGAGGATGGGGGAGGAGGACAGGCGGCCCCCCGCGCGCAGGAGTGCGGTGCGCGCGGGGCCCAGAGTGCAGTGCGCGCGGGGCCTGGACCCCCCCCAGCGTCGTGAGCCCAGGGGCGCCCGCGTCGTGGAGCAACTCCAGGACGGAGGTTTTCTGCCGTCTTCGATCTCTGCAGACCCTCGGCGGGCACCAGGACCGTCACAAAAGGACTCGGGATGAAAACCCGGTCCCGAGGAACTTCTGGGGGCCGCGCGCTGGAGAAGCCTGGACGTCGCGTGTCTGGGGAACAATCGTGACGGAGGGCTTCTCTCCCTTTCGGGCGGGTTTTGGGGCCCTTGCCGGGCTTCGGGGCCATCCAACAATGATGCAGGGTGAAAAGCCGGTCTTGGGGAATGGATTCAAACATCCGACTGCTTCAATTTCTCCGATGCGTGGGCCCTGGAGGTCTGGATCACCTCCCCAGGGCCGGTCTTTCGTCCTGGGTCGTTTTTTGACTGTCACCAGGCCCAGCGAGGGCCCCTTGAGGCCGAAAGCGGCTAAAAACCCGCCGCTCCAATTTTTTTTGGAGCGTCGGATCTCTGGAGGTCGAGACGTCCAGGGGGCCTACGCTGTGAGAAAAACGATGACGTCGGGGGCCTGGGGGGGCCCCCTTCTTTTGGGATCCTGGCGCTGCAATTTTGCTACGGCGGTCAGGCGATCGCAAACATGGATCAAGGGGGCGTGGATTAGCGACGGGTCCCGTTTCCATGGGAAATCGCTGATTTTCGCCGCCGAACGAGGCGGCACCGGCCGCATATTGGGGAGGGCACTTCCCCTGATCCATGGATTTGGCGACCGCGCGCCAAATCCATGGATCGCTAATCCATGCTTTCGCGCCCCAGAGACTGGCATTTTCGTGCGTTTTTTGGGCCCTGGGACCCTAGCAGCTCGGTCCAGGTCGAAGAAATAAGATTGTGTCCAGGGCTTTGGTCGTGACATGTCACGGTGCTGTAATTTTTCGCTGCGTCGGATCTCAGGGTCCCCCCCCCGCTCCGATAGGACGGCCGGTCGCCGTGCATCTGGGACACCTTTTGCGCCGTGGAGGGAAAGGCCCTTCGACGCCGTTGTCGCCGTCGCCGCCGCCGCCGCGGCCAGTTGCCGCGATCGTGGCCGCCGCCGTTGTCGTTCTCGCCACCTTTTTTGTTATCGTTTGTGTCGTCGTTTTTGTCATCGTTTTGGTCGTTGTCGTCGTCGTCGTCGTCGTCGTCGTCGTCGTCAGCCCCGCGGCGTGCGCCGCAGGGACGGGGGGGAGAGGAGGGCGCGGGGACGGGAGAGAGAGGGAACTGGGGGGAGGGAGGAGTGAGGAGAGGGAGGAGAGGGAGGGGGAGGGAAAAACGGGAGGGAAGGGAGGACGGGCGGGGAGGGAGGGGGGGAGGGGAGGGATGGGAGGGGAGGTGATTGGGCGGGAGAGGGGGAGGCGGGAGAGGAAAAGGGTGGAGGGAGAGAAGGGAGAAATGATGAGAGAAGGGAGAGAAGGGAGAGGGGGGACAGGGATGGATGGATGGCACGAGGCACATTTTGCTAGCTCGCGCCCCTGCTCTCTTCCGTCGTGCTGCCGCCGCCGCCGCGATCTCGAAACCAGCCTTGAGCAGCACTGGGTTTGCGGCGGCAGTTGGGCATCGATGTCTTCTGCGTTTCAGCCATCATCGAACACGCCTACGGCTAACACCGCCGCCCCATGCCGTCAAAACAACTCCTATGTTGCCAAACGTTGGGCCGACGTCTTGCCAGGCTATTGGTCTACGTGTTGTCCCCAGCCGTTGTGGATACCTTTGGGGGAGTATTTCTAGGAGGAAAGGAGGAGGACAGATGAGGAAGGAGGAGGAGAAGGAAAGAGGAGGAGGAGGAGGAACGAGGAGGAGAAAAGTGAAGGAGGAGGAGAAGGAGGAGGAGGAGGAGGAGGAGGAGGAGGAGGCGGATGAGGAGGAGGAGGAGGAGGAGGAGGAGGAGGAGGAGGAGGAGGAGGAGAGAAGGATGAAGAGGCCTCTTGCCTCTTGGGGCCTCCTGAGGGCCTCCTGGGGGCCTCTGAGGGTGTCTTTGGAGCGTCTGGGGGCCTCCAAGAAGCTTGTCGGCCTTCGGAGGCCGTCTTGCGGGGTCCCTCCTGGGGCCCTTTTAGGCGCTTTCGTGCCGTCTTGGAGGCCATCTTGGAGGTCATCTTGGGCGCCTTGCTGGCAGATGGAGCTTGTTTGTAGGTCGCCCATGTGTTTCTGTGTAGCCAGCGGGCCAAGCCGAAGACCTTTGGGAACCTTTGAGAAAGGCTCAAGTCAGTACGGTAGGTCACGCGGCGTTGGCGCGCCTGCGACGCCGTCGAAGGCTTTCAAGGTTGAAGCCTGACGTGGATGCACCGAGGGACGCGGTAACGCCACTGGGCCCGACGGACTTCAACCTTGAGCGATCGGGGCCGCGATCGATTCACGGTTGGACGATCGACGCGGTTTCAAAAACCTTTGCGCGCGCCGACGCCGCGCGAACCTACAGTAACACATTCAGGATGCCGAGCATCCCCGTGATACACACCGTGAGTTGCGGACGTGGTAACCTTCGCCCCATCCCACCGCCGGGGCTGGGTCGTTGGCCAGCGGCCTCCGAGAGGCCTCCTGGTGTCGCTGGGGAGGCTTGCCGGGAGCCTCCCGAAGGCCTCATGCAGTCTTCCCGGGGACCTCTTGAAGGCCTCTCGGGGCCTCTTGGGGGCGTCTGGGGACCCCGAGGCAAGGCAGTCTTGGGGCGCCTGTCGGGGCCGTCCGAGGGGGGATGCTGGGCCCCTCTTGGGGCCCTGGCGGCCGTCCTGGGGCGATCTCGGGGGCCTCTTGGGCCGTCTCGCGCCTTCTCGGGGCCCGGCGGCAGAGCTTGCGAGCATCCTGCAGCAACCCGCTCCGATGCCGATGCCTTTGGGCATCCTGGCCCGGCCCCGAGGGCATCAAAGGCGGCCCCATCGAGGCCCCGCGGAGAGCGCCAGCACGGGCCCCTAAGACTGCCTCGAGGCATGCCCGAGGCCGCGAGGGCGACCGGGAGAGGGCCCGGGAGCGCTCGGGAGCGCGCTAGGGCGCCCGTCGGGTGTCCCGTCAAGAATGCAGCGGGGGGCCATACCAAGAAACACCTCCTTCTCCTCCTCCTCCTCCTCGTTCTCCTCCTCGTCCTCCTGCTTGCCTCGAGGGTGCCCTGGGTTTCTTGGGCTTCGACGGTTTTGCTATGGAAGGCGTGACGTTCCCACACCAAAAATCAATGGACGTCCTGGGGTCTCAGGGTTGGGTTTCTTGTGGAAGGTTTCTTGTGGTCGGGCCCCTACTGTACTCTCGATGCGCAACGCAGAGAACTCGAAGGGACCTAAGGACACCCCACTCGGTGCCTACACTCAGTGCTTCCTCTCAGTGCCCACATTTAGAGCCTACACTCTGTGCCTACGTTGCAGATCCTGCTGTCAACATCGTTCTAACAAACGCATGAAGTATAACCATAAGCCGCCAGTAACACAAAGCATGGTATTCGAAATCACGCGGCTCAGATCCAAACCCTTGCGGGATACCTTCGAAGTGAATTTCCCGAAGGGCTTGGCAGGGTTCAAGCGCCATCACGTACTTACTCTAATCAGCAAGCGTAAGCTCATTACCGATGCCGACTTCAAGACATAGCCGTCAGGCTGCACTCCTCGAATGAAGACCTGTACTTTCCGTAGGCTCAACATCAACCCCCTCGATTTCCTCGACCACCTGCATCGAGGACCACATCGATCTCAGCGACAGTACAACGTCGGGGCGATACCTGAAGGGCCGCCTCAAGTCCCCATTTAGCCCCACTTAGCCCCACTTAGACTCCACTTAGAGCCACTTAGCCCCACTTTCCTCGACAGCGTCCTTGCTGTAACATAGTGTGCTACACTTTCCATGGTCACTGCTAGTACACAACTCGGATTCTGAGATGACACGGCGTGAGTAGAGGCAGCAGCGCTCTAACATTCGCTGACATTGTTATATCGATCGCGTCAAACGCATCCACGACAAATGCAGAGTGCACACTTCTCCTATTACAGTAGCCACGACAAGATGACAGAAGTCCATTCTCGAACATGGCCTGTTACCCATTATCTGGAAGCCCCCCACTCAGGCTCTGAGCACATCGAACGAGTTTGACTTTCATACTTTTCAAGTTGTGTCTCCATCACGATCTATTATGCGTCTGCGGCTTCTGGTTTTCCAGCCGATCTCCCGCGTCGTCTTGGCTGGGTCGCTCAACCTCGACCTCCGCTTCGCGTCCAGCCAGAATCGAGAACCGTATGGAGAATCCTTGTGCAAAGTATGGCGCATCATGCGTGGCTTTGTCCAGGATGCACTGTAAAGTGTGTAATGGAGCGACTCGTATATTGCCCAGTTTCGTGCCATGCGGGAGGAGAAGGGCGAGAGGGCGGATGAGGCGGAGGTGGAGGAGGAGGCGGATGAAGTAAGGAGGATTAGGCTGAGACGGAGTGGGACGACGATGGACGAGGAGGTTGATGATGATGCTGATGATGATGAGGATGATGCTGAGGATGATGATTATTCAGACGATGCCGATTTTGATGATGCGATGATGCTGAAGGTGAAGATGAATCTGATGATGCTGATGATGCTGATGCTGATACTGATGCTGACACTGATGATCACGATGACGATGCTGATTCTGCTGCTGCTGGTGATGATCACGACGGAGATGATGGTGATGGTGATGCTGATGATGATGATGATGCTGATAGTGCTGCTGCTGATGATGATTCTGATGATGATGTCGATGGATATGATGCTGATGAGGATGATGCTGCTGTTGCCGCTTCTGCCGCTGCTGCTGCTGATGATGACGATGTTGATGCTGCTGATGCTGATGATGAGGCGGTTGCTGCTGATGACGATGCCGATGGTGTTTATGCTGATGCTTGTGACGGTGATATTAATCATGATGTTGACGACAATGCTGCGCTGGTGATGATGGTGGTGATGTTGATGGTGAGGATGCGGGTGACGATGAGGATGCTGATGGTGATGAGGTTGACGATGGTGGTGATGGCGAGGTTGATGGTGACGGTGATGGTTACGATGTCGGTGATGCTGGTGCTGATGGTGGTATGGGGATGCTGAGTACGGGGGGCGGGGGGGGGGGGGTAATACTGATGCACGACTGCGCTGCGGCTGATACTAATGCGGATGCTCATGGTGCTTCTGCCACTGCTGTTTCCCCTTACTGCTGACGACGGGGTTAGTGGTGGAGGTGGTTGTGGTGGAGATGATGGTGATTGTGGTGGTGATGATGATGTTGGCCATGATGACCATGGTGTGAAGATAGTGGTGATAATGACGACAATGCTGCTGATGCTGACGATGCTGATGACCATGATTGTCTTACTAGGGCGTGAACGACGTGTATGAAGATCTTGCTGCTGACGATGTTGAGGCGGACGAGGATAATGATGCGAACACGGGGGAGGCAGCTGATTAAGATGACGGGGGCTTAGGCGGGTGAGGAGGAGAAGGAGGACCACGGTAAGGAACGCCTGGCAAGTTTCGAGGGCGCGGGGGACACGTTTCATGTGGGGGACGCGGAGGATGTGGAAGCATTGCGTTGAGGATTGTGGGGGAAAGGTGAGGAACGGGGAGGGTTGGGACAATAGGGTGTATGAGGGAGGGGAAGGGGGAATATGACAGCGGTTGGAGGTGAAGTATGGACGAGAGGATGTGACGGGGAGGACAGGTGTTGGCAGCGGTGGGCGAGGAGTGAGATGACACGGACAGCAGCGACGAGTCAGATGAGAAGGTGTATGGAGAGACATAACGACATAGTCATGTGAGCATGTGCATGTATAGATAGTAGAGGAACAAGACGAACGAAAGTGAGAGCGAGAGAGCGAGAGCAAGAGAGAAAGCGAGAGAGATTGAGAGAGAGAGACATAAACAAAGAGGGATAGGGGGAGAGAACGACAGAGATAGTAAGAGAGAGAGAGAGGGAACGAGAGAGAGAGAGGGCGATAAAGGGGAGATATCACCACTGGAACTGCGGAGTGGGAGAGACAGACTTAGAGAGAGAGAGAGAGACAGCGAGATAAACAGAGATATAGAGAGAAACAAACAAAGAGGGAATCCACATATATATATATATATATATATATATATTGATATATCTATATAGAGAGAGAGAGAGAGAGAGAGAGAGAGAGAGAGAGAGAGAGCGAGCGAGAGAGAGAGAGAGGGAGAGAGAGAGAGAGAGACAGAGAGAGAGGGCGAGAAGGAGAGGGAGAGAGAGAGAGAGAGAGAGAGACAGGCAGAGAGAGAGACAAGCAGAGAGAAAGCGAGAGAGAGAGAGAGAAGAGATAGAGAGAACGTTTGGGGACTCCCATGGAGGATGGCTGATGAAGAACCGGGGGCAAATCATGGGATAACGAGGAGTGGGGGGGAGGGAGGAGGAGAGGGGGGAGGGTGGACGGACGAGCCATGAGAATATTGGCAGGGCATCGGAATGAGGAGGGGCGGGAACATTGAGTGGGAGGAGGGGGAGGAGGAGGACGAGGAGGAGGAGGAGGGAGGGGGATGAGGATGATGAGGGGGGTGAGGAGGAGGAGGAGGACGACGAGGAAGAGGAGGAGGACGATGAGGTGGAGAAGGAGACGGAGGAGGAGGAGGGGGGGGTGGGGGGGGTGGGAGGGGGGGGCGGGAGGGGAAGCGCGGTTGAAGGAGAAGCGGGAGGAGCCGGATGAGGGGGGTTGATAGCGAGGGGGATGTGGGGTGCGGGAGGGAAGGGGGGATACGAAGGGCATGGCAGAACTTGTGGTGGTGGAGGACAGTGATGAGGATGAAAAAGGTGAGGGTGAGGACACCAATGCTGCTTAAAATTATGATGATGACGACGACGATGATGATGATGATGTTGATGAGGCGGCTGAAGATGAGATCATGATATGATTGTGATGGCGATGATGATGATGATGATGATGATGATGATGATGATGATGGTGATGTTGTTGTCGATGCTGATGCTGATGACGATGATGCTGATTATGATGATGGTGTTGATGATGATGCTGAGGACGGTCATAATCTGATTGTGACGACGATGATGCCGACGATGATGCCGATGCTGATGATGCTGATGATGATGATGCGGATGATGCTGATGATTGATGCTGATAATGATGCTGCCATTGTGAATGATGATGATGCTGCTGATGATGATACTGATTCTGATTATGATGCTGTTGTGGATGATGATGATGCTGCTGATGATGATGCCGATGATGCTGATGAGGATGATGAGGATGATGAGGATGATGCTGTTGTTGATTGTGATGATGATGAGGACGATGCAGATGATGTTGACGATGATGATGTTAATGAGGAAAGTAAG